AGGAGTTATGGACATTTCGAAGTTACGGGCAGTGCCCGGATAAACAAGTTATGAGTGTATTTCATATTGTCGGATCATTTTGTCGTTGTACAAATTGGATCAACGCCCATGATGCAGTACGAATGCGGCTAGACGTACACATATGCAAGTGCGGTGATGTGATCGGAACTGGTCCCTGGTACCAGCCAGTTTTGCGCTTTAAGTCGCATTTCAGTGAAGAGAATTGTATCGCTGCCTTAATCTGATCCCTACCGGGTGATTCAGCGGCAATTTTGAGTTTGTGCTTCTGACACTTTCCAAAAGGATTTTTTTGCGTTTTATCCTCCAAGTATAATTTGATATCGTACTCCTTATGCAGGTTCAGCGAAACCCAGCCTATTGACGCGGCTGCACATTTGTAGTACATACCTCATACGATGTTACTGTCTCATGATCGGGAAAAAAGCTGCCGTCAACTGAATCCGCCGAGGGCCAAACCAAGCGGATTAGCATGCACTCTGGAAATTTAAGGGCACTCACGTCAGGTGAAAGATTCTGGTATGCTGGCGTCTCTCAAGAATATACCAAGCAATGGGAGCTTGCCCGATTTTGAGAACAAAAGACACAACACCCTGGGGCAAAGACCTGCATACATTATAGTCATGAGGAGGTCGTAAATGAACATATCCGGTTAAACACGGAACAGGATTATCCTGGTTCATAACAATCAATGTAACTGTGCTTTACCCCATCCTTGATGTTACAGTCGGCCCCTCCAGCGATCAGCGCTTGACACACCTCGAGGTCACCTCTCCTGACGGCAACGTGCAACGGAGTGTCGCCACGCTGGATGTACACACAAGAAACAACAGTACAGGAAAAAGTTCTCAATGGGTTTGATTGTAGAACACAGTCACATCAAAGCAAAACAATTCAGAGTGGAATTCAACAGTTGGTGGATATGGTACTACTTGTCTGGTATTTACATTGCATGATTGCCATTAGTGTACAGACATACATGTACACTTATACCTCGATTATCCAGACTCCGAAGCTACGAGCATTTCAGGCTACCGGACACCCTTTGGTTGAGTGTTAATGGAAATGTTACTACTCTTTTGGCACTTTTTGTGGAAATAGTGACGACATATGCCATATTTATGGCCATTCCCCGTCAAAATGTAGGTGATTCGGAGTTACAGACATTTCGAAGTTTCGGGCAGCGCCCGGATAAACAAGTTATAAGTGTATTTCATATTGTGGGATCATTGTGTCGTTGTACAAATTGGATTGTCGGCTGAAGAGGTGCTCCAGTCCATCATGGACTCGGACAGTGATGACTGGAGCTGCGATAGTGAGGTGTCGATGTCGAGTTTGAGCAGGGCGCAGCAGCACAAGCTACGCCAGCGCAGGACAACAAGTTGGTTTGAGTTGATACGACTAATTACAAAAAAAATGGCCCGGCAAACCGCGTGCATCTGGCCTGGCACTGGAAGGGATTTCAAAGGATCAGACAGGGAAGTGAACTGCCTGAAAGGAGATAAAAATGCCAGACCCACCAGGGCTCAAATCTGGGACATTGTTTTTCATGAGCAAGGCTCACAAAACACTTCCTTTCACCTCTCGTAGTACATTCCAGAAAACTGACCGTGGTTGGTCCCCCGGGAGAGGGAAAAGACCCAAGCGCCATCAGCATGTGTGGCATGTGTTGTGAGCCGCATTGGGAGTGAAACACTTGTCAGCACCTTCTGGGTTCGACCTGGTCCCATAGCTTACATATTTAGAGCATTTTTCTCTCAACACGACTGTTCACACAGCATGGGGCTGTGTTCCCAAAAATACGTTAAAGAAAATGGACAAAACAAATCGAATACAAACAAGAACACGATAAGCAGCAAACGCACAGGAGGGAAGTGAGAAATGGCAACTAGTTTCAAGAGATGTTAAGAGCATTGCTCATGACAAGCAAGGTCTCGGGTTTGCGTCCTGATGGGTCTGGCATTTTTTTGGCCGCTGTGTGCAGGTCCTATATGGCATTTGGTACACTAAAAGACGGTCGCTGGTCACGCAAGGCAGGTACAGTTTCCTTGTAGAACTGTCCATGCATGGAAAAATGCTGGTTAAAAGCAGATGGTGGCTAAAAGCAGAGGTCGCTTACACCAGGTTTTACTGTATAGTGAAATCTGGCCAAGTTCATACGTCCACAGATTTGTAGTACATGTCTAGTATGGTATTACTTATGATTTCCAGAAAAGTCACGTCAACTGAATCAGCCGTGGGCCAAAACCGAGCAGAGTTGCCCATGCACCCTGTCAACATGCCGGATACTCATAACGTCTCCGACATGTTGATATAGAGCGGCGCAAGGAACAAAATGACTAAATGAGTAACGCAACTTGCAGAAGTCTTAACTTCCCTGCTTTTGTGCTTTGCTCTCGAAACAAGTTTGTGCAACTTTTTGCTTTTTGGTTTCCGGATCATGCACACGAAGTTCTTGTTTCTACTCTTCCCGAAGTCATTCCAAGTTCTTGTACAGGTAGACTCCCTCTAATTCGAATACGGAATAATTCGAACATTCCATGTAATTTGAACTTTTTCGTCGTACCGATCTTCTGCAAGTCACTTCAAGATAAATTCGAATGCATAATTCGAAGTACGAAAAGTGCGCCCGCTGGATAATTCGAACTCTGCCTTCGTACAGAAGAGCAGTTTACAGTACAGTGACTATGTCCTTCGAGCGCTTATTTCGAAGTGAGATGGAGTTGCTCTACTCGTAATTCGAAGTTCATTTTTTCTACTTCTCTAGCCAAGAGTAACTCAGAAATTGATCCCTGGTCCGCTCCAGGATCGACAATAGCGTTGAAGAAACCGACCTTCTCTCGAAATTTGATCCAAGCCTGTGCGAGGCAAAGTGCAAAGATTTGATTGAAGACGACTTCTTCCAGGTGGTTGGCTCTCTTCGCGGATCTCAATGGCTTGTCATGCCGAGCCAGCTCATGCGCAAAGAAGTTTAGGACTGAACAACAACTGGAAGTCGTAAACATTGTCTATGCCTATGCTCCACTTCTGTTCGTCAGAACGACGTGCTGCTCTCCGACGGGCTTTCATGACGCAGAGAAGGCAGCGCTCTTCTTTTGCGTTGAAATCGTTTCAGGACAACGGCAGCGATTGAAAACTGCTTCACTAGAACTTCGTAGAAGATGAAAATAATGTCCAATGACTTCATGTCGATCCAGTGTTTTGGTGAAATGACCTGATTTCGTTGTTCATGACCACCTATGTTTCATTGGTGCAAATAAAATGTGCAAAAATAATCAGCACGCAATTTCGAGCATTTTGACATACATATCAGTACATGGGACTGCATTTTGGATAATTAGAAGTTCCGGATAATTCGAATTTAGTGCCTGGCAATTTGAGGTTCGAATTTGAGGGAGTCTACCTGTACTTCGCCATACTAGCAGCTAATACGTGTAATGGATGGAACATAATATTGTACCGCCTGGACCTGCTCAGGTGAAAGATTCTGGCGTGATGGCGTCTCTCAAGAATATGCCGATCTTGCACATATTGTACGCAACGGGAGTGAGGCCAATTAAAAAAATATTTTTCAGTTCGCGAACTGGATTGCGAACTTTCGCATTTTTCGTTCGGAAAAGTAGTCGGAACACGAATCGTGGGTTCGTGTCAGGGCAGTCATAAATTTACCACGCTGTACTGCCTACGTCGTGTCAGCATCATGCATGTGCGAATTCTGTTTGCTAATCCTTCTCATAACGCGAATTCCGTCACTGAGTTCGACTTTCTTTGGAGAGCGAACGCGAACGCGAATTTCGTCTTGCTAATCCTCCGTATTAAAACCGAACACGGATTCGTCGAACGAATAATCTATCGAATAATTTCGCCCTCAATCGAACGAATAATCTACATGTATATTCTATCATACGCATGATGGCATTTTTCAACACTTTTTCAGCACTTTTTAAGTAGTTTATTTTTATTTTTTGCTGATTAATATCGGATTTTGTTATGTGGAGGTGCAAAACCGGTTAACCTATACCGCCAAGAGTACATAACCCCCCAGAGTGTGCAACGCCTGATCCAGCTCTGCATAGGGTCTTGGTCGAAAGTGGTCAAAAACCGAAAATCACATTCATTGCATCCATGTTTCCCTCGTATGGAAAGAACAGAAGTATTACTACTAGATACCGATAGGAGATTAAAACTTGGAGGCGAGGAGATTGAGAAGAAATACTACGAGCAGATCTACGCCGTGCAAATATCAGCATATCAGCAGGGTCAGCACTGAGCATAGACCTTTTTTTTTTTTTTTTTTTTTTTTTTTTTTCGATTTCTGATAATTCCTACTACTATTCGATTATTCGTTCACCCCACGAACATTCTAAATTATTCGATTATTCGATTATTCGTTTCAACACTAGTTTTCACCTTCGCTAATCATCATGATCATGGTGAACCCGGGCCATACCATCAAGAGTACATAACCCCAGGTATGATGTAGACCTACCAGGCATGATGTACTCTTGATACCATGCATACTGCCATAGCATAGGCCACATGACATGGCCATACGTAGCATGCAGAACGGGTAGATCTACGTGATCAGCTGGTGATCGTACGTCACTAGCGCTATACTACCCCCCTAGCCTATCACTGCACTGTCTGTCGTCAGGATAAGGAGTTGCAAACAATCTTCTCGACTCAAGTACCATGAGTACTACTACTACTAGTATGACTATGACTATTATAGTGAGTACTAGTACAGTGTAGTAGTACAAGTACTAGTACATGATTGTAGTTCTCATCTGTCAGTCTTGGTACAGCCGTCCACCACACTCCACAGTACCAGTGCCAGTGCGGCAGTTGTAGGCCTAGGCAGTAGGCTGTAGGCTACAGCCTGTACAGCCTACACTTGGCTACAGTCAGACTGTACAGGGTCAGGAGTCGAGTCAGGAGTCGAGTCAGGACTCAACTAGTGTTACTTCATCTCAAGCCAAGGACGCACTTATTTTTTCATCACTCGCAGTCAGAGTAATGCCTCCTGGTCTGTAGACTAGTAGTAGTGCTGGTACAGACAAGTATTATGGTTATGCGGCATTTGCTGGTCCAAGCTGAAGTCCATTCGATTCATATCGCCCTGAACTCAAGTCACTACACTCTCTGTCGGTACTTGTGCAGGTTCTGATGTTTCGATTCTAGTAATAATTTTTATTCTTACCGGTACCTCTCCGAGGATGTCCTCCCCCAAACCGGACGGTACTTCACACGTGAGTGCGCCAGATACTGCGACTGGTGCGCAGGATTCGCGTACAACTTCAAGCGGAGACAGGCGCTCAGTTTCGGTGACCGGGGATTCGTTAGGTGAGAGCTAGCGAGAGATCGTTTGAAGTACATACATACATGCATGTGTACTTTTATCCCCGAGCCCAAGGGATTAATTATTTGCGAGAACAAAATTTAATCTCTCAAGTGATGCCCACAGTGATGCACAGAATAATGCGGCCAGAAAGAGTGAATAATGCGAGGATTGTAAGTGTGCGAATGAAACTACACCAAATTAATAATAAACTACAATCGACTCTTGATAACTATACCGAACACCATTGCGCGGAAGAATTAGTTCTTTATAAGGCCATCCAGAATTAATTCGTTGTTTCGGGTCACCCGACCGACCGTCTTTTTTCACCCGACCGCAAAATGTTTTTTTTTATAGCAGGGATGAATTTATCCTGCATCGCATCGCAGTTTGCGATGCAAAATCAATCTACTGCTACTCAAAAGTCACCATGACTCGCAGAAAACTGCGATACATACAGACTGTCCATGCCTAGCCTGTGCTCAGTGTCAAGGAACATGCATACAGTGCAGTGTATGTGGTGCAGGCACTCAATCTGCGTGCACATGCATGATTCAGTCGGTTTTTTTGCAAATGGGCCTTCAGGCATCACTCTCAAGAAGGACAATGTGGTAAACACCCAACCTTCAAAGAAAAATGCTAATCAAAATCAAAGAGTGCTACACAATTGTGATTTTGTATAGCAGAAACTGCTATGCAAAAATATGACAGTAAATCCATCCCTGTATAGTGCATGCAAATGTACAGACTAGACTATATACACACACGACCCTAATAATAGCAGTCCAGATATCGACCTCAGAAGCAGCCATGGCTAGCCAAATGACAGGATGCAGCGCTTGGTGACGACGTTGTCTTCTATCTCCGATCCGCAATCGGTCCTGAAACAGCATCAGCTCCGCCACCTTGTCGCTATTTACAGAAGTTTTCAAGGTGAGAGCTGCTCGCCGGTCAGACTCGTTTGCCAGCGAGGCCAATATCTGGTCCTGGAGGGGACCTGGATCTGGTGGGGCAATGCCTGCGCTGGATTGTATACACTACAGTCTGATTTGATCGACTGGCTAGATGGACAAAAGCTATTTGATGTACATGTGCATGGACGTAACCAAAATAAAAAATAAAATAAAATAAAAAATATACCCGACCGACCGACCCTGGTACGGATGAGTGAAGTGACCCGAAACAACGAATTAATTCTGGGTGGCCTAGCCGAAGTTCTTTATAGCCGAAGTTCTTTATAGCCGAAGTTCGTTATAACAGAAATGCACTCACACTATACAAGCAGCAAAATAATCATGACTGACATAATTCCCCGTGATAATTTAACTGCACTTGGGTTATGGAGCCCTACAAGATTTGGTTCGTTATAAACGAAAACGGTTCGCTATAAAGAGTCATTTTTGTATGGATTCTAACAGGGACATGGACACTGGTTCGCTAAATCACGAAATTCGCTAAATGCGAGCTCGTTATAAGCGGAGTCGACTGTATAAACACCCAATGACTTGCCAACTCCACTGCAGTGATTTCCAAGTTGCCGCCAGCACGTGTGAGTGACCGTGACAGTTAGACAGAGAACTGTAAGACGATATTTTAACATCGACTATAGTTAACGATCTCCGGATTTTTGTAGGTTAGCGAGGTGAAATGCTAACGAATTCTGTCGGCAAAACTGGCAAATGACTGTACAATATAGTTTTGCACGTAACGACTTCAAAATTAATGTTAAAGGGGAAGTATACCCTAAAATCAAATTTTCACCAGTTGTAGTCTTCGGGGTGCTGAGTCGAATGGTCTTGGTCCGAGGAAGCTGAGATGCTCCCTTCCTCCTTTATTCCCAATCGAACTCGCGCACTTCCACCGAAACTGGGTGACTGCGCCCTACTAGATGGGGATTTGTATGCAAAATGTCACTAAAAGCGCCATTTCGTTCTTATAAAAGCACGGATGACCGCGATTGGCCCATATGTTGTAGTCTTTTGGACGCTGAGTCGACTGGTTTTGGTCCGAAAAGGCTGCGATGCAGCGTTCCTCCTCTATTCCCAATCGAACATGGTTGAACAAGCGGTCACGTGCTCCTGCGTACACCAGTCACCTGGTCACCGTGCCGGCAGGGTACAACTTACTAGCCTGTTTGACCTTTTTTGGGTGCAGTCCTGTCACTCGAGTTGAACTCGAGTTGAACCTTGGTGTGAAAGTTGTCGCCTGCTGGCGCGGTGACCAGGTGATTTGGGCACCCAGGAGCACGTGACCGCTTGTTCAACCATGTTCGATTAGGAATAAAGGAGGAACGCTGCGTCGCAGCCTTTTCGGACCAAAACCAGTCGACTCAGCGTCCAAAAGACTACAACATATGGGCCAATCGCGGTCATCCGGGCTTTTATAAGAACGAAATGGCGCTTTTAGTGACATTTTGCATACAAATCCTCATCTAGTAGGGCGCAGTCACCCAGTTTCGGTGGAAGTGCGCGAGTTCGATTGGGATTCAAGTAGGAAGGGAGCGTCTCAGCTTCCTCGGACCAAGACCATTCGACTCAGCACCCAGAAGACTACAACTGGTGAAAATTTGATTTTAGGGTATACTTCCCTTTAACAATTCGTTAAATCTTTACAGGTTACGCTATACTGTCCACTAACACCACCAGTTACTAAACAATCAGCTCATGCGATAACATTGCATTCTCTTTTGTATAAATTAAACCTTGGCTCTCCATCCGAGTCAATTAAATGTTTGTTAACATTACTGGTCTTACAGCATAGCACAGTACTATCGGGTGACGAAGAACTGGCGTCACCCTCGTATGCGGAACCCCTCTTATTTTCATGTACAGCAGTCCATGCGCAGTAGAGTAGAGTCACCTGGCATATTATCGCTATGCTGTGCTTGGCGAAATTCTAGCAACGCCGTTCTTGGGCACTGCGTTCTCCTGCACACGCCAGTACTGTACTATGCAATTACATGTACAGTCAACTTCGCTTAAGTTATAACGACACTCGGCGGGGCATCAGAAAAGTGTCCTTATTCGCGAAGTGTCGTTATACTCGAAGTGTCATTATATGTGTCACAGTTAGATTGGACTTTGTACTGGGCATGAAAATTATGTCGTTATTCGCAAATTGTCGTTATATCCGCAGCAGTCGTTATTAGCCAAGTTGACTGTAGTACGCAGTAGCGAATCTTCCGGAGTGTTAGCCGCACACCCCTTTTCGGGTCCAAAATTCGTATTTTTGTTGACACTCGGTCTATAAGCCGCATGTCAGACTCTTGAATTTGTTGGCACCCTAGTGTGATTGGTATCGGTCATATATCGGAGGGTGTACCCAGTGTGCTGACAGTGCTCAACACCATGGCGGAGGGTGTACCCAGTGTGCTGACACTGCTCAACACCATGGCGGAGGGTGTACCCAGTGTGCTGACAGTGCTCAACACCATGGCGGAGGGTGCACCCAGTGTGCTGACAGTGCTCAACACCACGGCGGAGGGTGTACCCAGTGTGCTGACAGTGCTCAACACCATGGCGGAGGGTGTACCCAGTGTGCTGACAGTGCTCAACACCACGGCGGAGGGTGTACCCAGTGTGCTGACAGTGCTCAACACCATGGCGGAGGGTGTACCCAGTGTGCTGACAGTGCTCAACACCACGGCGGAGGGTGTACCCAGTGTGCTGACAGTGCTCAACACCACGGCGGAGGGTGTACCCAGTGTGCTGACAGTGCTCAACACCATGGCGGAGCATGTAGCCAGTGTGCTGACAGTGCTCAACACCACGGCGGAGGGTGTACCCAGTGTGCTGACAGTGCTCAACACCACGGCGGAGGATGTAGCCAGTGTGCTGACAGTGCTCAACACCATGGCGGAGGGTGTACCCAGTGTGCTGACAGTGCTCAACACCACGGCGGAGCATGTAGCCAGTGTGCTGACAGTGCTCAACACCATGGCGGAGGGTGTACCCAGTGTGCTGACAGTGCTCAACACCACGGCGGAGGCAGAGCGTAATACAGAACAGAACAACAAGGACAATCAAGGCTTGTTTGCTGCGACTTGAAGTTTCATGCTCTCGCAATCATCAGGCAACACATTGTTGTTCTGTTCTGTATCGGTAGTATAAGATGTTACCAATGGTTAAAACGTTGTCTTTCCCCCTTGTCAATGTACTAGTATAATATTATGTTGGGCTGGGGATGTGGTGTTGGCTTGAGTTGACTGATGTGGTCTTTGAACACAGGTCAGTGTATACATATGTTGGGTTACGGCGTAGGTCTGAGGTGGTCTTTCACTGCAGGTCAATGTTGGGGCATGGTGTGGGATAGCGTGGCTGGACTCTCAGGATTTAGTCACAAGTTGTGAACCTGACGAAGGCAATTTGCCGAAACGTTGTGATATTGTGAAACGAGTTGAATTATTGCAGTGTTAATGGAAAAGAGCGTGCGGACTCTACTCCTAACTGTTTATGAAACTGCTGGAAGCCTCCTCACTTTTACTGAATGGTGACGTGTTGTTGTTATAGGATTCAACAGCATGTGACAGTGAGACTCAGAGTGTTTCAACTCACTACTGATGACAGTGCATCTCAACTGCGTATGGATGTTAGGATTTGTCAACTGCATATGCGTGTGAGGGTGTTTCAACTTCAAAGGCTGTTCAACTGCATGCGGATGTGAGGGTGTTTTGAAAACTGCATGCGGATGTGAGGGTTAAGAGTAGAGCCCACACGCTCTCTTCCATTAACACTCTGCAGTAATTCAACTCATTTCACAATAATTATTCCAACGTTTCGGCAAATTGCCTTCATCAGGTTTACAATAGGATGTGAGAGTGTTTTAAAACTGCATGCGGATGTATGTGAAGGTGTTATGTGAACGTGTTTCAACTGCATGCGCGGATGTACGGGTTTTTCAACGGTGTGCAGATGTGCGGGTGTGTTCATAACTGCATGTGCATGCGAGGACGTTTTGAAACTGCATGCAGATGCGAGGGTGTATCTAACTGCGCGTGGATGCGAGGGTATATTGAAACCTGCATGCAGATGCGGGGGGGGGGGGGGGTGTCTAACTGTGCGCGGATGCGAGGGTATATATTTAAAAATGCACGCGGATGTGAGGGTGGTTCAACTGATGTCCTTACTGACATTGTTGTCACTCTTTGTCTCACTGCATCGCAGACAAACCTGTCCCGGTCACCACTGTAGATCGAACAGTCACTGCTAGTGCTACAGACCAACATGTATCCGTCACGTCCACAGATCAGCCAGCACCGGCCAGTACTCCGGATCAGGTTGTCCCCATCGTCGCCGATAGTGTCCCGATGTCACTACGGACCCGCAGCACACTGGACATCCTCTCTCTGGCCTGCAGTCTGCCCCATGTCAATCATGTCTTTGAGAAGCTGCCGCAGCTCGAGAACAGACAGGCACACACACTTGCAGTCACCCTGCTCAGCCGTTACAAGGAACAGGTACGTATCGAAATGAGTGAGGGAGAGACAGACAGACAGACAGAGACAGGGAGGTAGAGACAGACAGAGACAGAAAGAAAGAGAGAGGGAGAGGCTGAAGGAGCGAGAGTGTGTATGTATGTGTGTTTTTTATTGTGTGTGTGTGTGCGCGCGCATGCGTGTGTGCATGCATATATGTGTACATGTGTGTGTGTGGGCGTGCGGTCACGCACCTGTTTGCGCGTACGCCTCTCCAAGTGTACAGTACGAGCTTGTAGACGCTGTGATATCTCTACAGTAGAGTTTAGTGCTTGTGTGGGTGCATGTGGAGCTGGCATCATCTCGGGATGTATGCTAATCGAATATGTTGTAGATGCATGTACATGTACAACATGCTTTTCTCAAACCCCTCTTCCGCCATATGTGCACCGACCACCGCAGTACAGTAAAACCGGTGACTAACGACCGTCCCTTGGAGCCGGAGAAAGCGGTCTTTAGTGGCAGGGGGTCCTTAGAGGTTTGCACCGCACAACCATAATATATGAATGTGAGACCGCCACGGTTCCTGGCAAAGTGGTCTGTAGTACCAGGCTGGTCGCTAGTCACGGTGGTCTTTAGTTACAGGTTTTACTGTAGTACCAGGCTGGTCGCTAGTCACGGTGGTCTTTAGTTACAGGTTTTACTGTAGTACCAGGCTGGACACTAGTCACGGTGGTCTTTAGTTACAGGTTTTACTGTATATGCAGAAAAATGGAGTACAGAAAGTGCTAACAAAAAGTACACTAATACCTCGTTTATCCTGGCGGGCCGGGGACCGGGCACTGGTCGTAACTCCCAATCACATGAAAAAAAATGTTGATGGTGAAAGGCCATAGATATGGTACAATGACATCACTATTTCCACAGAAAGTGACAAAGGAGTAGTAACATTTCTACCGAAAGTCTCCCACGGCGTGCCCGGTAGACCGAAATGCCCGTGACTTCAGTGTCCGGATAACCAAGGTATGATTGTACAATAACGCGCATCACTGCACGCACAGCAGAAAACAGTTGACAAAAGCACGGTTGCGCATGCACTGATGCCACGTGTGCATTATTGTGCATGCTTGTGTGCGTTTTCTACTATTCAGGGAGAACAATACACGTCATTGCTGAATGACATTGCAGCTGGCAAGGTGGTGGACCCACGAGACCGAGCACTGACCTTTGCCCTAAGTATGTAACCACTGACTGTGGTGTCTGTACGTGTGTGTATGGGTGTGTGTGGAGGGGGGGGGGGGGGGGGGTGCGTGCGTGTGCGTGCGTGGATTCCAGCTAGTTTGGTTGGTGAGTACACCTTTTCCAGATAGGGTTGGGTATGTTGCAAGCAGGCTCGGCTGCTTGAAGGTGTAATGTTGTATCTGCCACCTTTGTTGGTTCCAGGGTTCAAATACTGTCTATTTGAAGTATGCATACCTGTTAACCATGGACTACTTCTGGCTAGATTAACTGTAATCATGGTACTAGTGAAGCTCGTATCAGATCCACTCTGATTTAGCCACCCACGCTAGTAGCAAGTATTACCTACACTGGGGGAAGGGGTAACTGCAGTTGGATCCCGGGACGGATACCCTGATGCCGTCAATCCTATTTACAAGTTTTGGCAGTGAGCAAATACAAGTTTGTGTGTGTGTGTGGGTGTATGTGTGTGTTTGTGTGGGTGTGTGTGTGTTTGTGTGGGTGTGTGTGTGTGCCTGGTTGAGTGTGTGTGTGTGTGTGTGTGTGTGTGTGTGTGTGTGTGTGTGTGTGTGTGTGTGTGTGTGTGTGTGTGTGTGTGTGTGTGTGTGTGTTCTTCCATGCCCGCAGGCGGTGGAACTTACGGGGTAGTGCAACAAGGCACGAGAAATACGGTCAACGTTGACGGAAACCTGGTGCAGGATGAAGACGTGTCCATTATGCAGCAAGGCGTCGACAACACACTCAACATTAACGTCTCCATCGACGCATTGTCCGTTGCAGGCGGGGAAGGCTATCGTCCTGCATCCACCAAGGATGCACGCGAATCGATCACGACCGAATTGATGCGCTTTGTGCAGCGCTTCTCCAGAGGTGGTGGACTAGGTACGGTTGGTGGGCTTGTCAAGGGGGAACTACCCCCCCCCCCCCCCCCCCCATGTCTGCTCAATCTTGCTGCCCCCCCCCCCCTCTCTCTCTCTCTCTCTCTTTCTCTCTGTCTCTCTGTCTTCCTCTTTGAATCGTGTGATTTGTCACAGGTCTGTTGGGCATCGCGTTTGCTAAGTGTGTGTGTGTGTGGGGGGGGGGGGGGGGGGTATGTGTATCATCGTCTCAGCGATGATCATGTGTGAATGGATTTCCATCACTCACGCTACTGACACTACTGTATTGAACGAACCACGTTTTCCACCAGCTTCCTTGTGATTTAATGGAATGCATCGTTTCATGCTCTAAGTTTACTCTTTCTATCGAGCGAGCCCCCCCCCCCCCCCCCCCCCCTCTCCCCAGCACTTCAGATGGTTGACCGCACCACACTAAATAATGTGTGTGTGTGTGTGTATGCACACGCTCGTGGGTGCTTGAATGGGCATGCATGTACGTGGGTGTGACGTAGTGTGACGTTATCCTGGCCTGGTGTCTGCCGCTTGGGTTAGTGAACGCCGGAACACAGTCTTGCCATGGGTGCATGCGTGTACTTTGCAAATGTTATCGTTTTCTTCTCACTTCCACAATCTTATCTCCCCTCTCTCCTTCTCTCTCTCTCTTTCTCTCTCTTTCTCTTTCTCTCTTTCTCTTTCTTTCTCTCTCTCTCTCTCTCTCTCTCTCTCTCTCTCTCTCTCTCTCTCTCTCTCTCTCTCTCTCTCTCTCTCTCTCTCTCTCTCTCTCTCTCTCTCTCTCTCTCTCTCTCTCTCTCTCTCTCTCTCTCTCTCTCTCTCTCTCTCCCTCTCTCTCTCTCTCTCCCTCTCTCTCTCTCTCTCTCTCTCTCTCTCTCTCTCTCTCTCTCTCTCTCACTCTCTCTTGCTCTCCCTCTTTCTTGTGTACACCCTATATTTTCTTTCTTGTTCTGTTGGCATTCCTACACAGGCTCACAGCAGGATCACTCCTCACCAGTCACTGGAACACCAGTGGACGACACTCCTGGCGAGGGAGATGCGAACGATCGCGGCAACTACACCGTCCGTCCCTCCTCGCTCTTCTCCCTCGGCCAGAACTGCAAGCAGGTGATGGAGAGGATGCTAGGACTCGGCGATGCCAGCCCGGTGAAAGTGAGCAACGTCCAAGCGCTAGGCGAGGATCGCATACGCATCACGTTGACGGAGAAGGACCCGGCACCAGCTTACTTGGGTATGGCATGCACAAGCCTGATGCAGCCTGTGATCATTGTTAAATTTGCTCCACCTCCAGCACATGCACTCTCTGGCCAACCGCATTCATACCAGCAACATGACTCTAAGTCGCCGATCATGGCAAATGCAACTTCCTCTATACACTGAATCATGTAACTGTTATGAAGTACAATGTGATCATTGTGCCTATTTGAAATGTCAGTGGACCAGACCACATCTCAAGAAAGGCCAACACATGCACTGAATTCACTGAATTCACTGAATTCGGGCCTTTCCAAGTATGCCTTTGGTTAATTCCAGTGGTGTGCACGGGTAGTCGGGTACCCGTGCTACCCGTGAGGACCTCGGGTAGACAGGTACCGAATAGTACCCGAAAACCCGAAGTCGCAGATGACATCATGTACAGTGCACGTGTACAAATAATTCACGCATGTCTACCCAGTGCGCAAGGGAAGGGGCCGGTGTGCATTGTGGTCTTACCATGGAAACATTACCCGATCGGGTACCCGTGCTACCCGTGGAAAACTACCCGGACCAGATACCCGAAGACAATGCTACCCGACTCAGCCCTAGTTAATTATGCCTTTGGTTGAGGCCGACCCCCCCCTCTCTCATGGCTTGAACTACAGTAAAACCTGAAACTAATGACCACCCCTTAGGACCAGAAAACTGGTCTTTAGTGGCAGGTGGTCCTTAGTTAGAGGCTTTCACCGCACAACCATTTTATGAATGTGAGACCGTCTGTGCCGGGCAAAGTGGTATGTAGTACCAGGCTGGTTGCTAGTCACGGTGGTCTTTAGTTACAGGTTTTACTGTAGTAGCAGGCTGGTTGCTAGTCACGGTGGTCTTTAGTTACAGGTTTTTACTGTAGTACCAGGCTGCTTGCTAGTCACGGTGGTCTTTAGTTACAGGTTTTACTGTAGTACCAGGCTGGTTGCTAGTCACGGTGGTCTTTAGTTACAGGTTTTACTGTAGTACCAGGCTGGTTGCTAGTCACGGTGGTCTTTAGTTACAGGTTTTACTGTAGTACCAGGCTGCTTGCTAGTCACGGTGGTCTTTAGTTACAGGTTTTACTGTAGTACCAGGCTGGTTGCTAGTCACGGTGGTCTTTAGTTACAGGTTTTACTGTAGTACCAGGCTGGTTGCTAGTCACGGTGGTCTTTAATTACAGGTTATACTGTAGTACCAGGCTGCTTGCTAGTCACGGTGGTCTTTAGTTACAGGTTTTACTGTAGTACCAGGCTGGTTGCTAGTCACGGTGGTCTTTAGTTACAGGTTTTATTGTAGTACCAGGCTGGTTGCTAGTCACGGTGGTCTTTACTTACAGGTTTTACTGTAGTACCAGGCTGGTTGCTAGTCACGGTGGTCTTTACTTACAGGTTTTACTGTAGTACCAGGCTGGTTGCTAGTCACGGTGGTCTTTAGTTACAGGTTTTACTGTAGTACCAGGCTGGTCGCTAGTCACGGTGGTCTTTAGTTACAGGTTTTACTGTAGTACCAGGCTGGTCGCTAGTCACGGTGGTCTTTAATTACAGGTTTTACTGTAGTACCAGGCTGGTCGCTAGTCACGGTGGTCTTTACTTACAGGTTTTACTGTAGTACCAGGCTGGTTGCTAGTCACGGTGGTCTTTAGTTACAGGTTTCACTGTAGTACCAGGCTGGTTGCTAGTCACGGTGGTCTTTAGTTACAGGTTTTACTGTAGTACCAGGCTGGTCGCTAGTCACGGTGGTCTTTAGTTACAGGTTTTACTGTAGTACCAGGCTGGTCGCTAGTCACGGTGGTCTTTAGTTACAGGTTTTACTGTAGTACCAGGCTGGTTGCTAGTCACGGTGGTCTTTAGTTACAGGTTTTACTGTAGTACCAGGCTGGTTGCTAGTCACGGTGGTCTTTAGTTACAGGTTTTACTGTAGTACCAGGCTGGTTGCTAGTCACGGTGGTCTTTAGTTACAGGTTTTATTGTAGTACCAGGCTGGTTGCTAGTCACGGTGGTCTTTAGTTACAGGTTTTACTGTAGTAGCAGGCTGGTTGCTAGTCACGGTGGTCTTTAGTTACAGGTTTTTACTGTAGTACCAGGCTGCTTGCTAGTCACGGTGGTCTTTAGTTACAGGTTTTACTGTAGTACCAGGCTGGTTGCTAGTCACGGTGGTCTTTAGTTACAGGTTTTACTGTAGTACCAGGCTGGTTGCTAGTCACGGTGGTCTTTAGTTACAGGTTTTACTGTAGTACCAGGCTGCTTGCTAGTCACGGTGGTCTTTAGTTACAGGTTTTACTGTAGTACCAGGCTGGTTGCTAGTCACGGTGGTCTTTAGTTACAGGTTTTACTGTAGTACCAGGCTGGTTGCTAGTCACGGTGGTCTTTAATTACAGGTTATACTGTAGTACCAGGCTGCTTGCTAGTCACGGTGGTCTTTAGTTACAGGTTTTACTGTAGTACCAGGCTGGTTGCTAGTCACGGTGGTCTTTAGTTACAGGTTTTATTGTAGTACCAGGCTGGTTGCTAGTCACGGTGGTCTTTACTTACAGGTTTTACTGTAGTACCAGGCTGGTTGCTAGTCACGGTGGTCTTTACTTACAGGTTTTACTGTAGTACCAGGCTGGTTGCTAGTCACGGTGGTCTTTAGTTACAGGTTTTACTGTAGTACCAGGCTGGTCGCTAGTCACGGTGGTCTTTAGTTACAGGTTTTACTGTAGTACCAGGCTGGTCGCTAGTCACGGTGGTCTTTAATTACAGGTTTTACTGTAGTACCAGGCTGGTCGCTAGTCACGGTGGTCTTTACTTACAGGTTTTACTGTAGTACCAGGCTGGTTGCTAGTCACGGTGGTCTTTAGTTACAGGTTTCACTGTAGTACCAGGCTGGTTGCTAGTCACGGTGGTCTTTAGTTACAGGTTTTACTGTAGTACCAGGCTGGTCGCTAGTCACGGTGGTCTTTAGTTACAGGTTTTACTGTAGTACCAGGCTGGTCGCTAGTCACGGTGGTCTTTAGTTACAGGTTTTACTGTAGTACCAGGCTGGTCGCTAGTCACGGTGGTCTTTAGTTACAGGTTTTACTGTAGTACCAGGCTGGTCGCTAGTCACGGTGGTCTTTAATTACAGGTTTTACTGTAGTACCAGGCTGGTCGCTAGTCACGGTGGTCTTTACTTACAGGTTTTACTGTAGTACCAGGCTGGTTGCTAGTCACGGTGGTCTTTAGTTACAGGTTTTACTGTAGTACCAGGCTGGTTGCTAGTCACGGTGGTCTTTAGTTACAGGTTTTACTGTAGTACCAGGCTGGTCGCTAGTCACGGTGGTCTTTAGTTACAGGTTTTACTGTAGTACCAGGCTGGTCGCTAGTCACGGTGGTCTTTAGTTACAGGTTTTACTGTAGTACCAGGCTGGTCGCTAGTCACGGTGGTCTTTAGTTACAGGTTTTACTGTAGTACCAGGCTGGTCGCTAGTCACGGTGGTCTTTAGTTACAGGTTTTACTGTAGTACCAGGCTGGTCGCTAGTCACGGTGGTCTTTAATTACAGGTTTTACTGTAGTACCAGGCTGGTCGCTAGTCACGGTGGTCTTTACTTACAGGTTTTACTGTAGTACCAGGCTGGTTGCTAGTCACGGTGGTCTTTAGTTACAGGTTTTACTGTAGTACCAGGCTGGTTGCTAGTCACGGTGGTCTTTAGTTACAGGTTTTACTGTAGTACCAGGCTGGTCGCTAGTCACGGTGGTCTTTAGTTACAGGTTTTACTGTAGTACCAGGCTGGTCGCTAGTCACGGTGGTCTTTAGTTACAGGTTTTACTGTAGTACCAGGCTGGTCGCTAGTCACGGTGGTCTTTAGTTACAGGTTTTATTGTAGTAGCAGGCTGGTCGCTAGTCACGGTGGTCTTTAGTTACAGGTTTTACTGTAGTACCAGGCTGGTTGCTAGTCACGGTGGTCTTTAGTTACAGGTTTTACTGTAGTACCAGGCTGGTCGCTAGTCACGGTGGTCTTTAGTTACAGGTTTTACTGTAGTACCAGGCTGGTTGCTAGTCACGGTGGTCTTTAGTTACAGGTTTTACTGTAGTACCAGGCTGGTCGCTAGTCACGGTGGTCTTTAGTTACAGGTTTTACTGTAGTACCAGGCTGGTCGCTAGTCACGGTGGTCTTTAGTTACAGGTTTTACTGTAGTACCAGGCTGGTTGCTAGTCACGGTGGTCTTTAGTTACAGGTTTTACTGTAGTACCAGGCTGGTTGCTAGTCACAGTGGTCTTTACTTACAGGTTTTACTGTACGCAGCAGCTGTTATTGTTCTGGCTGTTGAAGATGAAGACTGTCATTTCCCAGTCTTTCTGGTGGATAGTCGGTGGTGTACCACTGGAGAATCACAGACAGACTGCTAGCATGGCGAAGCTAGGCTGGCGTGACCGATCTGATGCATACGTCATTGTTTTGAATTGCGTGTGTTTACTATGTAATGCAGACTGCTATAATGGCAAGCCGGGTTGGCATGACTATAGCCTGATGCACACGTCATTGTGTTGAACTATGTGTACATGTATTTATTTATATGTATTTGTTCTGTATGTCCATGTCTGTTTGAACTCTGTAAAGGCAAGGCAGCCGACCCGTCGACCCTTGTCATACTGAAGCTGCGCGGTCCGCTGCACGAGTTTGATCAGAAGAAGGACCTGTTCCGTCTGCAGACTGCCGGCCTGCTGGGCTGCCTGCCCGACGCCATCAGCTTCATTCAGGCCACGCGCTCCGGCAGCGTGCGTATTCTGGTCGCCATGCCGACCAGCTGCTACGCACGTCTCCTGCAGCTGGCTCTCTTCCAGCCGTCCGTGCTCCGGGCCCTCGGCATCTTCTGGCTGCAGCCCGTCTGCTTTCCGGCGTCCATCAACGTAGCTGAGGCTGTCGACGTGACAACCGTGACTAGCATACTCGGTGAGCACCCACGTTCTTCAATCCTGCCTACTCGGCCTTGTGTGAGTTTGGCACAGGTCCGAGTTGGGGGGGGGGGGGGGGGGGGGGGCGTCACCTGCCCCGCCCCACTCCGCCTGACTGCGGACCCCGCCCGGTTTCACCCCACCACATCCTCCCCTTTCATGCTAGTCTTGTTTCTGTCCACCCCCCCCCCCCCCCCGTCACACACACACACACACACACACACACATGCATACACACACATGCATATACACACACGCACACGCACACACACACACACACACACACATGCACAGACCACTCCATCGCCCCAGCTTGCAATACTGATAACTGTTTTGAGGTTTTCTGTTACCCTGCTAGCTAGCTAAGTATCCCAGTCTTTCATTCTCATCTCGCCGCCAGAAGAAACAAGTTGCCATGTTCCTTCAGGAAGCGTGCTTGGAAACCGAAATTATGCATAGCATCAGTTGTCTTATGTTTGCCTTGCGGCATGAAACTCGAAGTTTCAAGAAACCTCAAAGTCCTCCGCTGAGTCTGCTATGTTATAGAGTAGTGTTGAAACGATCTCACCGGATACTCGTTAGCTCGCTCGCCAGAAACTCGGCTCGTTTGTGCGGCCAGCTCGTTTGCACTAACGAACACTGTACACCGTACTCCGTACACATGGCAGTACATGTCGACCGGAGAGTCGTAAAATATTTTACGACTCCCTGGTCGATCGAGAGTCCAGTCCCGCGCAAAGTGAAAATCACTCGCAGTTACAGTGACTGTATGCCTGCACGACACTTGAGTTGTTGCAGTTGTCGTTGCAGCTTTGGTGGGCTCTAGTGATGTCTTGTTCCGCATCTGCTGACCTGACGCAGGATATTCTTCGGTCACCTCTCCATTCGAGTGAAAGTTTCGCTCAGTCATTTGGAAGTTTTCTCCCGCAATGCAGCGAAGACCTTGCAATCTTTGCAAAACGGTCTATTCTTACAAAGGCTACTCAACGACGGCGCTGAAAAGACATCTCGACACCAAACAGCAGTCCGAAGTGAAGCAGCAGCAACCCCAAATGCCGGCGGTGATAATTTGAACCAGCTGAAAAAATCGGACTAAGAAATTTTTTTATTCAAAAAATCATATTTGCCACATCAATGAAACTCGTTAGCTCGCTCGATAGCTTGCTCGTTTGTGAAACTGATCGCTCGTTTGTTATAGATACGCTCGTTTCAACACTATTATAGAGCATATCAATATTTTCCCTGTTTCCTGTCCCAGGCCGTGCGTGCTGCCACGCGATCTGTGACAGCCTATACGACGCGTATCAGATAAGTGCCGATCAGCGCGTCGGCTTGTCCTCGCTCTCGCTGGTCTCTCACCTTCACGACCGGCTGCTCGACGCGCAGATTCCCGCCGACAAAGTCGTCACGGCAACCAACGAAGCGCACGCCAAGCTCGCCCGTTGCCTGGACGACATTCGGCATGCAAGTCCCGACGGCGCGGACGATGGCAGCGGGCAACACCGCCAGTGCATTGCCGAACTCCTGGCACTGGAGTTTGAGACGGGACGAGCGCACCGCGGTGTTGATATATCCGCTGTGGCAAAGGTACTTAGTCAATAGACACACATAGAGTTATCCGGTGTATGTACTGTATCATGGTGTGCTATCTCTGATATTATGCTACAGTGAGGCCTGCCTCAAGGCGACCACTCGGATAAGGCGACTACCTGTCCCAGAAGACCACAGAAACCAGGACCCAGGGATGCTATTTCCAGTCAAATGACCATGGATAAGGAGACCACCTGGTAACAGAGACCACACTTTGAAGCTCCCTTGAGTGTTCGTCTTAAAAGATAGGTTTTTCTGTCTACAGTAACGGTTTCAGTCTACAGTAAAACGTGTCTGAGACGACCGCTCAAGGGACCTTCAAAGTGTGGCCTTATCCGAGTGGTCGCCTTGACAGGTTTCATTGTACACTGTGTTTGATTTCTTAGCTGGTTACCAGTGTTCTCGAGCCCTGCTCTATGAGACAAGCATCATGGATGTGACTGTGTGAGGATTGCTTGTATATTGTCACTTACTCGCTTTTGGAGCTGGACTGGTTAAGTTAGGATCATCTTCATCTTGGCTGTATGTATCCGACCATAGCAGCTGGATGTGTCAAGCATTGATTTCGATTGTTTGTTTTGCTCCTTTCTCTCTCTCTCTCTCTCTCTCTCTCTCTCTCTCTCTCTCTCTCTCTCTCTCTCACTCTTTCTTTCTTTCTTTCTCTCTATCTCTCTCTCTCTCACACACACACACACACACACACACATACCTGCCGCAGACTGTGCTTCAATCGTTCCTAGGGAGCCGTGACGTTCACCTTCTGTCGGCGTCAGCTCGATCCACGGGATCCAGTGACAACACGCACAGTGTGTCATTCCTGCAGCTTGCTTCACCGTCATACAGGCCTATCAGTACAGGTGAGTGCTATCTCAACCATGACAACCTCCGCGCCTCTGTATCTACCTGCAATCTATGTACTCTCAAATTGCTCCCTGTACATCGGCACGTCGTCCCTACATCCCCTGTGTCTTGTTTTGTTTTGTGTCTCCACATGTCTCTTTGTAGGGCTGTGTTCCCAGTAAAAAAATCCCTTTAGGATGAACACCAAGGGACCTCGAGCGATGGTATTTGTTTGCAATAGTGAGAGCTCTTCTTATCCATATGTTATACCCAGTGAATATCCAATGCTGTAGACAGCAAGCTGCTTTTGCCGTAAAGGCCTCATCAGTACAGCTACGAGCGTTAAGCAAGCCGAGCTACAAGCCATGGTGCAAAGGAGGCACCACAGACATTAAGATAGCTCGTCGCTCTAGCACCAGAGTGCTCTAACAATGAAATGTAGCCAGAGTAGCCAGAGTAGCCAGCAGCCAGTAAATAGACAGTCTACATCGGTACAGCAGCTTTTGTAATGTTCCAGAGCAGTTGCTCATTGGAATTATTTCCGGAACCGCTTGAATCTCAGCGAGTCATTCCTGTTCTCCTGGCAGTTGTGAGCTCACAGATCTCGCGCTGGGCTAGATTGCTAACTCTGCCAGACATTGCCAGACCACCATGGGTGATGGTGGGGTTGTTGACCAGATGAAGTCAAATTTGCGAAACCAATTTACTCTTTCACCTTTAATAATTGCTGGTACAGTACCTGTCCAGTGTGACTTTGAAATGTTAAAAAGCCAATAGGCCCATATGATGCCAACCAAGCAGCTCAGGAAGTAAAACAACCCGTTCACTACTAGCATTTCCATCAACTTGAATAGAACATGGGCCTCAGGATGGCCAGAACATTCGAAGAGTATTAAATCCGATTTATATTATTACCGGTATTTATCTCAGACAGCGTTTATAGGGTTGTGAGGATACATGACATAGATCCGAGTGCGTGTTTGTTTGTATCTCCCAATGCTATGGACATGCAGAGGCCAAGGAGGCCCTTCGGCTCGACACGCACGCACTCAGCCAAGATGCTGCTGCGGCTCTGTCCGCTAGCCTGGCCAAGTGCCTGGCCCAGCTCTGTGCCGTGCAGGCAAGCAACGTGTCCGTCTGCACGCTGCCGCAGCCTCAGGCCAGTGCTCAACCCGGCTCCGCAACCGTTACTAGCGCTGGCACCACCACCACCGCCACCATGACGGGTGCGTCAGCTCCCGGACGATTTCTTGCCATTCTGCCGGCCATGCTTGCACGCTACATTGGCGAGCAGTGTCGCAACAAGGACAGTGAGGTGTACAAGACTCTGGCACAGCATGGCGTGTTGTCCGTTAATCGCCTCCGTGGTCCGCAGATAACGCTCTCTCAATCTGGTAACTCAGTGCTACGTGTATGCAAAGTTCTTGCCTGTACTCAAGGGTTGTGGCCGATTTCGTGTGTTGTCTATCTGCTGTTGTATGTGTGTGTGTGTGGGGGGGGGGGGGGGGGGGGGGGGGAGTAAGTGTGCGTGCGTCCATGTGTGCAGAATGCTTGCATGTAGTAAAATTAAATTAAAATAAAATAAATCTGCAATGTCTCTTCAGTATGAAGTACCCTGGGTATAGCATACCCTGTTGTAACAATGCTCCCCCAGTTGCAGTGGATCTAAAGTATAGTTTTGAGGACCCTGAATGTCAATGTACTGTCATCTGACATTGGATATTGTGTACTACCTCGTCTATACATGTACAGATATTCACGTTCCCTGGAGGTATGTTATATAGTAAAACCTGTAATGGCGACCACTCGGCCATGGCGACCACTCGACCATGGCGACCACTTTTCCTTGTCACGGACGCTTTCACATTCGAAACAACTCGGATTTGTACTGATGGTGTGTATGTTGCCCTTCTCCAACATGCCATGTGAATGTTTATGTAGGTGCAAGCCGATCCTCCATTGGCCAGTCTCTGCGCCGTGTCTTCTCCAGGCTCGGCAGGAAGAACACTTCCGGTGAGGTGCTGCGTGTGTATACTGCGTTTCTTTGCTGTAGCGAGCGGGAAGATTTGTCTCTGTTTCGTTAACTTCAGCAAGCCTCAGAATCGTCGTTTTCCTTTCTATGAAAACCTGCACCCAATAGCAGCACAAACTTCAGGCTCTTCAACGTCATGATTTTCATATGGTTATTTGTTTTGGTTTATACTTGTGAAAACCATGTTGTTGAAGAGCCTGAAGTTTGTGCTAACATTATTATTGAGTGTTATATGAGTATTTCGCTCCTGCTCTTGTAGCAGTTGAGCACTCTTTTGTGGGGTAGTGCCTTTGCTGTGTGCGTTATGCAGAGCTCACTGACTTTTCAGTTTGAGCACTCTGGCAAGGTACGTTCGGGCCTGGTTTAAATCTGGCTTTGGAAAATTCCTTTTTCATTGCTAACAGGTTCGGCCTCATTTCCTCTATGCTGCGCTGATGAGTCCACAAAGGACGAACCTCCGCAGATTGAATATTGAGTATTATAGCTATTTGTCTCCAAGGACAATATTACCTTCTGTTTATATTGACCCTATGAAAGGTCATGTTTTCGTACCCCTTTTTCCAACTGCTCAAAGGGATCTTCAACATGTGGTCCCTATGTATGGGTGATCTTCTTATCCAAGACCTTTAGACTGGAAACAACGTCCCTTGATCCTGTCTGTAGTGGTCTTCTGGGACAGACGACCACTACAGTTTTTACGGTATCCATGTGCAGGTTCTGTACATTAAGAAAAGTATTCCACATTGGTGAGACCAGGGGGGGGGGGGGGGGGGGGGGGGGGAGGGGGGTTACCATGAGAACATTTTGCAAAAATTGAGCCCTAATAGCCCATTTTGTTTGGTGTGGCTTTGGCCGCACCTGCCGCACTGGTTCAGATGCCCCTGCGATATGCGTGTGTGCTTATTGTAACTTATCACTGTTGTATGATTTTGGCCCATGTCAAAAAACCCACCGTGCTCTGTGTCTGTTCTAAACTTGTAGGCCAAGATGTTGTGGACGCTATCTCGGCGCGGCGGGAGGAGATCGTCAACTACCACTTCCCGTCGGTGACGACAGCTGCGCGGTTTCACCTGGCCGGACTGCGTACGGGAGACATTGGCCAGCTGAACATTGCAGTGGTGGGCATGCAAGGTACAGGGCTTACTCTATCTGTAGTCAGTGTCGCCTCGGGAAATTCTTCATCATTTTGCGAGAACTGTGGCAATACGCACAGTGAGAAGGCAGATTTTGCCTGTGTCTATGGTGGAGTAATAACTAGGGCTCAGACGGTCACGGTTTTACCCCTAACGGTTAACTGCTAAGCTAACGGTCGGTTTAACGGTTATAACCTATAAGCCACGGCCCGGCAATCCTGGGGACTCTTTTTTAACCGTATATTTGACTGTCTCCGGGGAAAATTGCGATTCCGCGGCCGAGTTTTTTTCCGCGTTTTTTTGCGATTTTTTAAAAGACCGCGTTTTCCGCGATTTTCCCCGCGTTTTTTGAACTTTTTTGTTGCACTACACGTACACACAGTGCACTGTTCGGTCAGCAACGTCTCATCGTGGCGGCTTTTTACTCAAATATGACGAGTGCTTACACCAGAGACTTGTAACTGATTGATTTAGTAGTAGTAGTAGTAGTAGTAAGAAAGGGTTTGCTCCCCACACCGGAACTCGCGCTATTCCGCCGACTTTACTTGACACTTGACTGACTCACGACTGCCATCCAGAGCACACGAGAAGTCCATCGAACCTTCGACTCGGCAAACCTGCAAGAAAGCACCACTCCCTGCTCAATGCACAGTGTTTCGGGGAATTCACCCCTCATCAGTTGAGCTTGAGTAGGCTGAGGAAGATTGTGCCTGAAGAGCACCACTTATATAATGCTGTCCAGGCACAAACATCACCAGGGATACAAACTTACAGAGACGCTCCATTTCCAGCGCGACAAACACCTCGTGAACACCAGATAGCAGCGTGAGTCAGTGTCGCTCCTGGACGGTGAGACCAGACGTTGAGGACCCTCGGTCATTCGCAACGCTGTCACCTCCAAACCAACTAGTCGCAAGCCCGCGCTGGGCACAACAATACGAAGTAGTGGTTGCGACTTCGGCGATGATTTGTAAGAAAGGGTTTGCTCCCCACACCGGAACTCGCGCTATTCCGCCGACTTTACTTGACACTTGACTGACTCACGACTGCCATCCAGAGCACACGAGAAGTCCATCGAACCTTCGACTCGGCAAACCTGCAAGAAAGCACCACTCCCTGCTCAATACACAGTGTTTCGGGGAATTCACCCCTCATCAGTTGAGCTTGAGTAGGCTGAGGAAGATTGTGCCTGAAGAGCACCACTTATATAATGCTGTCCAGGCACAAACATCACCAGGGATACAAACTTACAGAGACGCTCCATTTCCAGCGTGACAGTAGTAGTAGTAGTAGAATTTATTATTTTGATAGGGAAGGCCCTACAGACATATTTCACTACATACTCACTGAAAATTGCCGCACATCAATATTATTCACCGCATATTTACCGCATATTTACCGCAAATTCACCGCAATCTATGCCATATTATGCCGCGTTTTTCCCCGCGTTTTTTTGCGATTTTTTCCGCAATTTTCCCCGGGGACAGATTTGACTATACTCATTCAAAAAATGTACCCTATTCAGTACAACGCACACATGTACATTCTCTTGCATGCTCATTCATACATACTCTCACACCAAGAGACCAGATATGACCTAGTTGACAGCCCAGAAATTGCGTACACGTGCGACAGCCTGCGAAAGTGCATACTTTGCAACGACCTGATACTTGAAAAATTGACTGAAAATTTACTGCGTAACCGTTATCTTTATCGGTGTTGTGTTCACTACTAACACCTCAAAGGTTTCAGGATCGCACAGACGCCACAAGACAAAAGGTCACGTAATTCTTTACGGACTATAATGAATGAACAGTAGAATACATTGAGAAGAAGAGACTGGAAAAATACGAACTACATCGGAAAGAGAACTCTAGAACACTAAAGAAAAACAAACCACAGCATCAAGGAAAAGAACAACGCATGAGGGGTAAAGCGCTGGCCAGCCACAACGTGCGTCCAACTTTGGCATGAGCGTACAGAAGAGCGTACAGCGCTCGGAAAGCGGAAGCTAAATTTGGCCAAGCGACAGCAATAGTACGGCGCGAGGCACATGAGCAGTACGAGGCGCGGCACCTATACGCGTGTGCGGCAAACATTACACACCATGTACCATATATGCATGAACAGCGCGGGGCGCATGCTAACTCATTCAACATCAGTGCGCGGCGCAGGCATCTAGCTAGCTGGCGCAAGCATGATCATAATTGCATGCCATCACGCAATCAGCGCACATAAATCGCGCATCAAATAAATAAGTAATCAAACACAAATCAACACATCAACTAAATAAATCAACGAGCTAGCAAGAACACAATTCAAAAATGCAACGAAGAAATAATTACTATTCTAGTCGGTTATTCGCATGGGACCAAGCGCAATGTCCAAGCTGATGAACTGTGATTGCACAAGGTAAGCCCAAGCTCCTGAGCTAACCGTTCTGGTGAGCAGTCTTCTTCGCGCTGCAAACACACACTACACAATGTGTCGTATCTCGTAACAAGTACTGTACCAAATCACAACGAACACTAACAATACGCAATAGTAAACAATAATCAAAAACACTACGCAAAAAAGCAAAGCAAGCAGCACCTAGCCAGGGAGACAAGCAGGAGTCACGGTCGCAACGAAATCTCGACGACACCCCAGAAGACCTTTCTCCGACACGATACACAACATTCTCCCCACCAAAGGGCTTCAACCACACTGATCACAAATCAAGACGAGGTGGTGGTCGAACGGTACGACGAGATCGACGCGTAACTTGCGGTTCAACGGTCGTCGAAGGTATTTCAACATCATCGACGACGTTGACTGGATCAGCGCTCGCGGGTGTCTGCGGCTGCGGCTCAGCGTCCACAGCAGGCGGCTCAACATGCTCCTTCGCTACTTCTGTCGTCAGTTTAATCCGACGAACTGCGGCTCTCCTCGCCACTCCACACAACAACAAAAGACTCGTGCACACTGGGAGAGAGAGCGTTTTCTCTAACTGGCTTTCAGTAAAGGGACTGGAGAACTGCGCTCCAACAAAACGGACAAGAGAATATATTATGGGGACGTGGAGAAAAGAGGGGAAAAAGTGGGGTGAGGGATACTAAAGAGGTGCCTGTGCAAAGTACAACAAGGCCTGAACAGGACGGGAGACAAAGACGAACGACGGGGAAATACGACGGACACAAGACGGCAACCAGACAAATACAACGGAGACAAGACGAGAAAATGTGTATGCAACGGGGACGAGAGGATAAATAATGCATACGGAGGGGACAGAAGACGGTGCAGCGGCATGTACTAAGCATTCCAAGACGGCGCAGCGGCGTGTACCACGGGTCAGCAGCATGTACGACACAGAGACACATACGCAGCCACGTGTACGACAAAAGAGACACAAGCGCAGCCACAAGTACGACAAGAGAGACACAAGCGCAGCCACATGTACGACAAGAGACACCCGCGCAGCCGCATGTACGACACAGAGCTACAAGCGCGACCACATGTACAACACTATCCCCAACCAAAAAAAAACATCCACTCCTGTGGATGGAAGTGTATATAGAAAAAAACAGGAGAAGACAGACCGGAGAAGAAGACAGAAAGACCAGGGAAATGAAATGTGAAACAACATAAATAGGCGACAATAAAACACAAAAGAAGTGGGGTCACGACTGTTGAACGCATGACGAGTAGGCCAGGAGGGTTAACACCAGTCGGGAGCCCCGCAAAACTGTGCATCTATCAAATGGAACCTGCAAGCAACAGATTTTGCAGAGGACCCCGGCTGGCGAGCTGTTCGACCTGTAGTTGTCCCTTTGGATCTTGATTATTTGAACAGCACCAACCTAGTACGCCACCCACCCAACAGTCGAGACAAACAAAATTACACATGCAAGAGAAAAAATGCAGCTTACGCAAGATCGTTATAGCAATAAATGTCCACCAACGGAACAACATCGGATAAGTCCTCCAGGACAGGAGGCGTAGCCGGCCGCGGTGCAGGAGAAGAGGGTGCGGATAGTGCTGACAGGGCTTCCACGGTATTCATTGCTGTTACCTGACGATGGCCAAGTGCCGAAACGTTGTAAAAATAACGGAACTGGTTCGGATGTGATGTGCAGCGCTATGGGAATGGGTGTGTCCACCCGAATTCTTTTCACAGATGAAGCTGCAGGAAGCCTCAGCCCTTCTTCAAATTTTACGAGAACAAAACAAAGTGCTAAAATAGAATGAGGGAAGGTGAGACAATAGAAGTAAAGTGAGAGCTAAGTGCAACAGGGGTGAGGAACTAATTGCAACACTAGAACTATGTAGTGAGACAAACAATCATGCTGTGCACCTACGAAAACAATCTTAACGCAACTACATGTTTCTTCTGCTTACAAAGATCAGGCTTATGCAAACGAATACAAACAGCCTCAAGTACTTTCAACTGACTAGCATACCGTGCACGACAAAGAACAGAAAAACAAAATCATCATACACCTGCAGACACTTAGGGTGAGACAACAGATGAAGAAAAACGGCAGACTTCTTACGACCACAATCACCATCCGATTCCTCGTCTCCACCAACCGCAACCTCGTCCCCCGTCTCATCTTCCAACTCGTCCTCAGTGTCGTCCTCCGTGTGATTTTCCTCATCAACACCGATCGGTCCGAGGCTCGCTTCACGTTGCTGAACCTCTGTTCGTTGACTCCTCCTTTGATCTTGATGGTAATTTGTTACCATTGTTGTTGTTGTTGTCATTGTTGTTGTTCCTGTTGTTGTTAAATCTTCTGTTCCCAGTGTCTTCGCCGGTGCTTGACATCCAGTACTGTAATAATTCATTGAATAATTAGCCTTTGATCGTCTAGGTCTTTGAATGTTGATCGTGTTGTTTTCTCTGTTGAATTCCGTTTCCTTCAGCCTTCTTTCTTCTTGTTCATGTTCAGTGCTTACCTCATCCATATTTGCCCGTGCCAGCGACACCACAGACGCAGCCCCAGCACTGCCGATGACAGATGCAGGTGGCGGTTCTGGGGGAGGCAACGGCAACGATGGCGATGGGGGCATCACCTCGTCGCAGCGTCCACTTTGGTCTTGAGCTGGATGTTGTTGTGGTGCCGTTGCCTCCCCCAGAACCGCCACCTGCATCTGTCATCGGCAGTGCTGGGGCTGAGTCTGTGGTGTCGCTGGCACGGGCAAAT